AGCTGGACAAACCCAGCTCCTTCTTGGTGCCATTGCATCTCAGTCACTGCAGTTTCCTTCCTCAGAGCCCTCATGTGCTCAGGACCTCAGCCCTCTCCAGGAGGCGACTCAGCTGCCCCTCCCCCCTTCCACGGCCAGGTCTCCATGGGGCCCACCCTTCCCCGTCACTGTGCCAGAGGTCACTCTGGGCTGCACCCTCACTGAGGCCTCCAGGGAAGTGGGAGATGATGCGATGATGACAAGATGAAGCCTTTTCTTAAGGCGAGAGGCTGGTGGAGCTTTCAGAAGGGACAGCAGGGGTTGGGAGGGCAGCACAGTGTTCAGTACCATTGTGGCTCATCACAGAGAGGAGCCCAGGAGGGTGGGGGTGTAGGAGCAGGAGGCAAAGAGAGAAGGTGGCTGAAGCAAGGATGATACCCCTGGGATGCAGGTGACCTCCTGGAGAGCCTCTCTGAGCTTCTCCCCCAGAGCCAGTGGGCTAATCCATCCAGGTAAGGCATGGCCACTACACTTCTGAATGCCCACACGGTCCTTCTGTGGGCCACTGCTCAGATGTCATCTAAGCCAAGAGGCAAAACTCTGGGGAAAGTATGATTCATTCAGAGGCCACAGGCTGAGCCTGCTGGCCAGAGGAGACATATATTTCAGACTGGAGAGATGGGAGGGCAGATGGGAGAGGCTGGCCTCACCTGCGGGGCTGGTGCCATCTGGAGGACCTCCCAGGAGCCCCGGGGCTGACTCTCAAAGCAGATGAGTCTCCAGGCCTGTGGCAGTACAGCCTATCCCCCAGAGCATCCCGAGCTCAGCACAGCACACACATTTTCTTCAGACTGAAAATCCTCTGCTCTACCCACACAGATACGCCCTTTCTTTCCTTGGGCACTAAGTGCGCTCCCATCTCTCTCTGCCACTCCGCCTGGAAGGCCTTGTCTTTAGATGCTATGAGAAGCAGGCTGCGTGCACAGGGCACTGGCTTCCCTTCCACTCAGAGGGAGCTGGTGAGGCTCAGCTCGGTGCCCTCCTGGCCTCCACCTGGTGAGTTCTTACCCACCAAGTGCCCTTCCGGGGCCCGTCAGACCTCCTACCCCCAAAACAGGACGTATTCTCACTTTCACAAGGCTATCTACACTGTAACTTCCAAAGTATAAAATATGCTCTATCTACGGACCTAGAATGTATTCTAGTATATGTGACATTCCAAACTCCAGAATATAGTCACACACACGTATTCTAAAATTGCAAAAGATGTGCTACACCCAGTCATTGAAAGGGCACACGAAAGTCACTACAGCTCCTTCCTCGATCCAGCAAGTTATCCTTGACTTTGGCTTTTCCTTGTGAGCAGTCAGCACACCTGAGCTTCTGCCCCTTACCAGGACGGTCTCAGGACAGAGCCTCGAACAGATAGGCCTGTTTGAGAGAAGCCACGCTTGCTTCTGTCTTTCCTTCTCTCTCTCTAAAGCCAAATTTTGCTCAGCACTGTGGACACTGCCCTCCCCAAGATACCCTTCCTGGTTTCTTGAGTGGGGGGAGCCTCAGGAACGTTGGTTGGGATGGGCTCTTCCCTCCAAGGAACTGCTCCCATTACATGGATTCCACTCCAGAAATAGCATTTGAAGTCCACGAGGCCCAGCACAGCCATCGTCCATATTTAGGCACTAACACTGCAGGACATAGGCAAAGCACACCTGTTATGAGGTAAGGGTCTCATGAGATCGCTACAAGACAGAGAGGCAGCTGCCTTCTTTCCTTTCCCAGGAAACCAAAGGGAGCACAGACTGCACACCAGAGCGGTCTGCCATAGCCAAGCGGGCTACAGGTCCTGGACACTCCAAGTGTCCAGCTCTCCCTTAGGCAGCAGCACAGTCGTCTCTTTTCAGGCCCCTCCCATTGGGATCTGCAGCCCCTCCTCCTCCTCCTGTCTTTCCAGCTGCCTCCTCCGTTGAGGCAGAACTATGGGAAATGGTCAAGCTCATCTATGATGTACCAGCACCTTCTAATGGTGCCTTCACTCTCTCCGGGCCACTGGGAAGCAGCCATACCCTAGTGCTGCTCCCCCTAAACGGAAGGTGACTTGGTTTTTGGGTATCCACGAAGCTGTCTTCTTTGTTACCTGTTATAATTTGGGCCTATTTGGCACATGTATTATCATATAAGTGTTCACAAATCATGCTATGTAGAGACTGTAACAAAAAATTTTTAAAGCCTAGTTTTCTAGCCTAAAAAAAAAAGGTAATACCTACCCCATGGGACTGATTCAAGAGTATAATGGATGCACAGAATCTAAAGTGTCACTTGCCACATAGTGCTCAATAAATCAGAGATCCGATTTGACTTAAACATCATTAGTACACTGTTAATTCGTGCCCAAAGCAACATTACTGATATAGCCGTGGCAGGAATTTTTAATTTCATTTATAATTAGAATGTATTTGTTGGTACTTTGGAATAGAGCCAGTTGATACTATCAAATAATTTATGTTTTAACTATTTGAAATAAACCTATTCATAAAAAAGAAACACTATAAAGAGAAGAGGGAAGAAAGTATAATTTCAGGATGTCAGTGAGTCAGCTGGTGAAAATGAGCCTTAATTTAGCTTTGCGTTTTCTGACAGCCAAGGCAGAAAGAGAACCACGGTAATTTATCAGACTTGGTGTTTGGTAAATGGAACGAGTAGCTCACAACGAAAGAGAATTTTCCACCTGACATTCAGATCTGAGGGCAAGTGCTTGCGGGGAGCCTGACAGAAGAGCCTCGATTCAACGGCCCAGGGCCAGAGCCCTCTCCCACCCCACAGAAGGAGGTTCCACCCCGCAGAAGGAGGTCCCACCAGTTACCAATGGTGATGGCGAGGGACCAGCGGGCCGGCCATCTGGGGACTCCTAACCCAGAGATTAATTGCTCCTCTCCACTGCAAAACACGATCCACTTTCAGGGTTTGTACTGTGAAGCATCTTGGTCCTTAGCTTTGCTAAGTGTCGAGGTCTTGGCCTTTTCAAGCGGCTCACACGATCCTGCCTGCCTTCCTGAGCTACGGTGACCAGAGAGGCCTGCGGATGGGAGAGTGTGGCTTCATCTTGGGGGAATCTGCTTTCCCATCACTGCAGACCAATCTGAGACAACTCCCTTCTCTGGGAAAACCATAACCACCCAGCGAGGGCGAGGCCCGAGTGCTGGCTTGATTTGTTGGCTTTGATTAACAATTAGGTGTTTGTTTTGTAAGTAATGAGCATCTACTGGCAAGCTATAAAGATTCTGCCAAGACAGTCTAGGCAGATTATAGCTAAAGGGTACTGCGGTACAACTGAATCTAACCATTCATCTCCACAGCCCTCCCCTGCCAACGAAGCCCGGGTTTGGTCCAGCACAGTCCAACAGGTCCTCAAGGGAAAAATATCCAAGGAGAAAAGACTGCCACACAGCACGTAGGCCCATGTGTACGTACAGACAGCGCTGAATGCTGCTGGGGACACTGCACTTCACAGGACTGCAGCTCAAACCATCTTACTTCAATTTACAACCCAAACACCCATCACAACCTGGATGTTGGCAAACATTTTCAGAGCTCTCCACTCTTAAAACTATGAGGTGGTTGATTCCTAGGTACTGCGGTGGGCTGGCCAGGTCCCTGAGTGGTCAGAAGATGCCTACCAAGGTCATTTAAACAGCTCAGAGATGTCAATATAAATGTGATGCCGCTTTTAAAAACAGGAGGGACAAGGTATTTCCAGCAATATGAACAACATAAAGTCAGGATGAAATAATGTGCACTTAGTGACAACTACTCACCTTGCTCTGCCAGCCTCTAAGACGTCCACCAGGCTATGCACATGGCATCCCCAGGGCAATGCTGTCACTCACAGGATGCACATCATGATACCCAACCAGGCCAAAAAAGCTAACTACAAACCCCTCAACAGGAGTGGAAAAATGAAAAT